CCATTTTTGCAGCTTTTTTGGGCCCGTTTTCGAGGCTTTGGGGGCTGTTTTCAAGGCTTTTTTTGACCTGCTTTTTGACTTTTTTTCAGCCCGTTTTTTTTTTTGAAAAAATGGGCCAAAAAAAAAGCCCCGAAAACAGGCCGAAAAAGCCTTGAAAATGGCCCAAAAAAGGCCTGAAAAAGGCACAAAAACAGGGTGTGCAGAGGCCAAAAAATGGCTGGTGGATGGGTGGGGCTTCGGCAATATTCGGTCTATAAGACGTACAGACATTTTTGCCCCCTTTTGGGAGACGTCTTAAGAGTCTGAAAAATATGGTACATTTTGTCATTATGTGGGAAGCAAGTCATTCAATATGTATTTTCTTCCTACAATTCTTTTTAAAAATACTTTTAGGTTTCCTCTTGCATCAAACCAAAGTATGAACAATTTAAAAGAAAAAAAATTGAAATACAAACTGCTTAGCAGCATGAGCATGTTAAGAGAACCATGTATCTCTAGTTATAGTCTGGTTTCAGAGCTGAAGCAAACAAAAATAAGTGGTTAATCAATGACCAGTGAAATACTTCCAATGCAAACATATATGCTAAATAATAGTTGAATATAATAGAAACCCAAATGCTACAGTTGGGGAGGGAGGGCAAAGGGAATTTTAATTCCTCTCCTACCTACAGTTCTCTCTCCTCAGAGCACACCCCTCCTTGTGACAACTGCTTCAAAATCTGCCGATGATCCAACAATTATCTGAAGCACATTTTAAAGGCATGCCATAAGTTACCAACTGCTCCCTCCTGTTGGAAAAGTATGGATCTGGGGTGGGGGTGTTATCCATGATATCTTGTTCTTACCTGTTCCTCAAATGAAATTACACGAGGTTGGATCTTTTCCAAGGTGAAGTGGTAGATTTCTTTGGCTGTACTATCGGGAAGATTTGGAAGATGTGTGCAAAAGTCAGTCAGCAACTGGCGTGAAATGACTAAACTGACATTTTCGTTTACCACTGATACAAAAGACACAAAGAGAAATAATTTCATGTTTGTGTTGTCATTTTATACAGTACTCTGATTATAATTCATTTTCTTAGTAAGCCTGAACAACGAATAAGCCAACAGTTTCCAGGGCAAAGTTTCCAGCGTCTAAACCATCTAATGATTATATGGGACATAACATTTCTGTACCAGCATACCAGAGATCTATTCTGTAATTTAGCTTTGCTACCACAATGTCAAATTGCATAATCCAGCAGCAGGCAGATAAGAACCTGCTGAATCTGCCACAACACAAGCAATTCAGAACAATAATGAAGTTCAGGTGTTCAAATATTTACATTAGTCAGGTTACTGTGCAGACTGATTCCCTTACACTATGGGAAATATTCAGAAATTTTATTGCAGTGTTTCTTATAGTATTTTAAAATGTATTTTTAGCAATTCAGTCCAAAGTACTTTTCTTGAACAAGAACTTCCCATCTCATGTCTGCAGTACAGAAAAATAACTACATTTCATAGTTACAAAATGTGGCCCAATTACATAGAAACTTTTATCGTAAAAACAAAGGATCCTTTTTTATCCACCGGAAAGTATTACATGCACAAGAACAAGAAAGCCGAATTACTTATAAAGAATTCAGATTGCTAAAATGGGTCTCTCTATAAACCAACAACGAAGACAAAAGTGCCACAGCAACTCAGAAAGTCAGTTTTTCACTCATCACAGGGTTGTGATCCCAAGCATTAATTCCCAGTGGGCTTTACTACAAATAAATCTACTCAACAAAGAACGTCAGTGTTAATTAAGAACAACTATGAAAACTCCAGAGTTTAGTTAGCAATATAAAGCTAGAAATTTTAGTTAAGTTCTCCACTTTGTTTACAGCAAGCTGTTCCCATTAAATGGTCAGTTCTTCTATAATGCCTATTTTGTAATATTCCAAAGGCCAATGCAAACTAATAGGACAATGAAAAATGTTAGTCAAGAAATAAATCCCTTCAATTTTGTTAAAATGTCCAAGTGTGCGTAATTCAATTAATTATTAATGAAGTCAAAACTCTGTAAACATCTGGTTAAATATATAATTTGGTACCACTCAAAATCCTTTTCCTGATTGTAGTTCAGTATGTACAACATTATCATGCAACACCAACTGCAGTTTAATAAACTCACTTGCTTCTACAAAAGCTTTTAATGCTTCCAGTTGTTCCACTCCTGACAGCTGAATTGCTTTCTCCAGTATCTGTCGATATCTGCCAAAATTGTAAAAATAGATGGCAATTAACTCTACATCCTAAATAGGAACTTTGTATTTCATTTCTCCCCATTTTTAGATAATACTATACAAGTAAGTTTGAATGCTTTTTCTTAATCGATAAAAGTTATCCTGTTCTCCTTTACTTCAGTTCCTTACTTCTTTGAACATTGTTCATGATGGGCAGCAGATCTAACGTTGGGATGACCGTTATGTTTTCAGAATAGAGAGATATTCAGGAATACTTTTTTGTTTTTGAGTATATAAAGTTAGATATAATCTTATACTTGCTGTACTTCTGCAGTTTCCATCAAAGAAGAGATGCCCTCAACTGCTAACACATTCATGTCTTTTTTAGCTGAAATATAGAAATGATTTGCTACTGCAATCTTCCTACAATATTAGATTTTCCTAATGGGATTTCATGCTAGTCTTGTTGTTCGGTCACTACATTGTGTCCAAGTCTTTGCAACTCCATGGACCACAGCACACCAGACCCACCCCACCATCGTCTCCTAGGGTTTGCCTAATTCATATTCGTTGCATTGATGACCCTTTTTAACCATCTCATCCTCTGCCATCTCCTCCTTCTTTTGCCTTCTTTCCCAACATCAGGATCTTCTCCAATGAGTCCTGTCTTCTCATTTGCTGGCCAAAGTATTTGAGTGTCAGCCTAAGGATCTGTCCTTAGAAAGAACAGTATGGAATCCCATTTTCAAATAAAGCCAAGTCTTATCTGAGCCAAGCTCAACTAAGGTGTCAGTCTTATCTGAGCCAAGCTCAACGTCCATGATGTTTTCTTGGCCACAATAATGAAATAATTGCCATTGCTTTATTCCAGGATTTTTTTAAAAAAATACATTTTCCAGTCTATCCTACACACAGGATATTTTATGGCAGTCTCCTATCTAAGCCTGGACTGAGAGGGTTTTTAGAGTTTGGGGGTTTTAATATAACTTATATACGCACATTATGTATTTTATAATTTTAACTGATTGTTTTATTGTTGTGAGCCGCCCTGAGTCTTCGGAGATAGGGCGGCATATAAATTTTATTAATAAATGAATAAATAAATAAATAAATAAATAAGTTCCCATTCTGCTTAGGTTTTGGAGAATTAACTAGAATACACCTTTCACTCAGATCTCCCATTGTGCAGCTTGAACTGCAGCTTGGTTCCACCACTTGTCAGATGGACATATTTCATGTTTTTAAAAAAGCACTACAAATATTTCTATTTCACAGTCCCCCTATGAAATCACTTTAAAGCAGATTTTCGCCTGTTTACTTTGAATGTACAGAGATTAAGAGAGAGCCAGTTTGGTATAGTTAATGTGCTGGCATAAAAAAATCAGAAGCTTGTGAATTGTAGGCCTGCCTGCCTTGGGCATGAAAGCAGCTGGTGCTTTGGGTCAATCCCTCTCACTTAGCCTAACCCACCTCACAAGGTTGTTGTGAGGAAAATAGGAGGCAGCAGTATTAGGTATGTTGGCAGCCTTGAATTGACACTCACTTTCTTTCTCTCTCTCTTTCTCTCTCATTCTCCCTCTCTCATTTTCTTTCTCTCTCATTCACTTCTCTTGCTCATTCTCTCTCTCTCACTCACACACAGAGGCACCCAGCAATTGTACAATTAAATTATTAATATTAGTATTATAGAATCATAGGGTTGGAAGGAAACTTGGAGGTCTTCTAGTCCACCCCTCAACTAGAAACTGGACACCCCAGTTTCCAGGATGTATAGAGGTCGGTCGGTCGGCGTCTCTCTCTCTCTCTCTCTCTCTCTCTCTGCCTCCCTCCCTCTCAACCTAACCTTATCACAGGTCCTGGATCTTTTTATTAATTGGATCCTGTTTTATACTGATTCTCTAGTTGACTGCAGCACGTTATTGCATTAATGGTTGCTTTATTCCGTGTTTGTACTGCACTAAGTTATAAGCATATAATAAGAGTTGGTCTAGTCAGGTAGCTAAGGTGCTGAGCTAGAAACGGTGGATTTCAGTCCCCCCCCCTTAGCATGAAAACATGGCAGATGATGTTTTTTGAACCCAGCCTACCTCACTGGGTTGTTGCTAGGATAGCATTATGTACCCTTCCTTGAGTTTCAAAAACTAAGCGCGTGATATAAATCCAATCATGAATAGCTAAAAATAAAATAAAATATATCTTTGCTGCCGCTCGCTACCATTCCGTTAAATTTATTTCTCCGCTGGGCATATATATTACCCTATATAATCCAAAAAAGGGCTGAGAAAGCCTGAACACCTGGGTCTCCAGCTCCGAACCCCCAAAACAGTCACTCCCTCTCTCCTCTAGGCCCATCCGTGGGTTTCCCTCAGCTCATAACCCCAACTCCGGCCTTCCCAGACCCTCAGAATGGAGACCCGCTCCGGCTTCTTTATCTCTTCCTCTACGCCTGCCCGATCCTCAGGAGGGGGGAAAAAAGCTGCCGTTAAGGCCGCCTCACTTACTTCCCCGCCAGGTCCTTGTGAGAGCCGCTGGAGCTCATGAGCTGGGTCAGCTCCTGCCTCACGGAAGCCGCCATCTTGCTCGCCCGTCCCTCACGGGTGGGAAGACGGCACGGGGTTGGGACGCCGCTGCGTAACCACCGAGCGGACCCGCCTAGAGCGGATGGGCGCTGGTGTCTCTCTCTCTCTGTGTGTGTGTGTCTCTCTCTCTCTCTCTCTCGCTGTCTCCCTCTGTTGTTTTTGTTTTGTTTTTGTTTTTCTTCTCCCTGCCCGGAAGCGGCTCGCGACAGGTGGGCGGGCAGAACGCCGGAAGTCGGCCCGAACTTTGAGGAGGGAAGGCGGGAGAATGGAGCGGAGAGGGGGCGAATGAGTGAGGCTCCGTAGGGGCGTGCGTGCGTGTGTGTGTGTATGTGTGTGGCGCGACGTCGGTTGTCAGGGCGCCGTAAAGCCGGCTTATTATGGGATGCGGCGGCGTCGGAATGGCGCGAGGCGCGTGATTTTGAACCGACACGGAGCCCTTGACGCCGGGCTCGGCTGGCTGTGGTGGCCCCGGCGGCCGGCCCCGCGAGCGAACGAACGAACGAACGAAGCAAGCGAGCCCCCAGGCTAGGCACGCACCGGCGGAAAACAGACGGGAAAAGCCCAAACAGGGAAGGAGCCCGCGAGGCCCCGGCAGGTGAGTTGCCGGCGTCGCGGTTTGTGTGTGTGAGGGGGAGGGGGAGGGGCGGGAGAGCGGTGGGCTTAACGACGAACGCCTTGACAGGACCGGCCCTCCCTGCCTGGCGACGAGGGAAGCTGCCTTGCCCGAGTTGTGGCCGCCTCCGCCGCCTCCCTCCTCTTCCCTCCTCAGGGAAGGGAACAGCCCAGACGGACCCCGGGTTGGGAACCGTAGTCGGTGTTTGACTTGAGCTTGTGGTGGCCGCCGTCAGGAGGTTCCGTCTCCGCCTCAGGTTGGGCGAAAAGCGGCCTTCGCTCGACGGTGGTGGGGCGGGAGGTGAGGGAAAGAAGAAGGTCGTGGAGGGTTTTTCGGGTTCGCCCTTTTTAGCGGCGATCGCGGATAGACGGGGGAAACTTGACCGTCGTCGGTGTTGCTTTCGAAGTGAGGGGGGTGGGTGGGTGAGGGGGGGCGGGCGGCCTTCTGGAGCACTTTTCCCACTTGCTGTGAAAAAGGAAGAAACCAAACAATGTTTACCTCCTAGACCCCCCCTCCCCTAACATGTCTAAGGGCTGTGAAAATGATTATTAACTTGGTCGGGAAAAGTCTTTGCTTTGTGTGTGTGTGTGTGTGTGTGTGTAAGTGTGTGAAAAAGTGAAAATAAAATTTTTGTTTGCCTATAATGATTACCTGCCCTGTCATTTTCCTTTTGGGAGGGATCAGCCATCCTCTTATGCCAGGTACACAAAAAGGCGTGAAAAAAACCTCTAATGCCAGGTGCACAAAAAGGAGTGAAAAAAGGAAATCAAAAGGTTTGCTAGGTAAGGTTATAGGTTATTTAGGTGCGAATAGACATGCATATTATTTCCTTAAGGAGATAAGGAAGAGAAAGCAGAAATGGATAAATTTATTATTCCCCCCCCAAGAGGAGAATATGTTTTAAGTATGGATTTTTCATTTGGGTATTACTTCTGGGTTTTGTTGCTTTGGGGGCAGCCTCCTCAATTACTTTTGCCAATGCTCTGAAAGGAGGAAACCAAACAATGTTTATCTCCTAGAGACCCTCTACCATGTCTAGGGGCTGTGAAAAAGATAATAACTTGGTCGGGGAAAAGTCTTTGCTTTTTGTGTGTGTATGTGTGTGAAAAAGCTAAAATAAATTTTATTTGCATATATAGATTACCTGCCCTATCATTTTCCTTTTGGGAGGGATCAGCCACCCCCTTATGCCAGGTGCACAAAAAGGAGTGAAAAAAAGGAAATCAAAAGATTTGCTAGGTAAGGTTATTTAGGTGCAAATAGACATACATATTATGTCCTTAAGGAGATAAGGAAGAGAAAGCAGAAATGGTTAAATTGATTATTTTATTCGAAGAGGAAAATGTGTTTAAATATGGATTTTTTCATTTGGGTATCACTTCTGGGTTTTGCTGCTTTGGGGGGGTACGGCCTCCTCAAATACCTTTGTCAGTGCTGTGAAAGGAGAAACCAAACAGAAATATTTTACCTAGCTTCCAAAAGAAACCCCTTAACATGTCTAGGGGCTGTGAAAATGATAATAACTTGGTCGGAAAAGTCTTTGCTTTTTTTTATTTTTTGTGAAAGAGGAAGAAGGCAAAAAAAGTTAAAATAAATTTTGTTTGCATACAACCTGTCATTTTCCTTTGGGGGGGGGAGGTCAGCTACCTTATATGCCAGTGCAGAAAAGGAGTGAAAAAGGAAATCAAAGACTTGCTATAGATAAGATGAAGAGATGCAAATAGACATACATAAGTATGTTTTATATTTGGCTATCACTTCTGGATTTTGCGCTTGTGATGAAAAAAACTGAAACTTTGATTTTGGTTTTGTCAAGTAGATGGATTTGTCATTATATTTGTCACTAGTTATATACTAATGTGTAAAAGCAAAAGGTTGAGGCTGAAGTGTTTTTATCTTGCACTTGGTTTATCTCACTAAAAAGAGTTGAAAATCAATATCTTTTTTTCCCTTTTTTCCCTTGTACCTTACATTTTATTTCTCCCTCTCTTTTTCCTTCCCCTAATTTCCCATTTCTATTTTTCTTTGTGTTTTATATATAGATAAAACAATAAAAGCCATATCCTGAATAAAGACTTGTTAGATAAAAAAGAGAAACATAAGCAAATCTAATGGGCACCCTCAACATTTATTACCCTTTTCTATACTTGTCTGGCTTTGCAGACAATTCTTGCTTCCATTACTGTACTTCATGTCTTATTTTTATTATCTAATCAGGATTCAGAAAACAAGTCTGTTTTGTAAAAAAAAATATGAGAGATTTTATTTGCTGTTAAAACAGTCTCAATTTGTTCGTATCATAAATAGATGTCTTTTTCTTCTACTTTTGGCAAGTACATTTCAGGTCCATAGAGTTAGTAATATTTTCTGAAACTATGATGATCCATTCCTCAGAAAAAAATAGATAAGCTAATGAACAAATAGGTTTATATAAAGCATGCACACTCGCTGTGGGTGAGTGGAAGACTATATAAAATATATTTGAAAATCAATATGAATGATAAGTTGCTTTATTGCTATGTTGACAGTGAAAATGATGTTGGGAAGTTGAGGTAAATCTAGAGAGTTCTTAGAGCCAAATAGTAATTGCATCTTAAGAACCTAATCTTTTCTAAAGCTGTGTAATTTTTTCAGTCCAAGGACTGCACTTTTCTAGTCCCTGACATGCCAGGGACTAGACATGAAAAAGTTGGTGACACCAAGGTAAAAGTAAAATTTTATTTCCATTCAATAGAGTGGAATGTGGAGGCTCTGGAGGCTAAATCCAAATTTTTCAGGGGTCACATACAACATTGGGCCATATATTATGAGCCTCTGTTTTATAATATAATTGTTTTAAATGTAAATTAAATGGATTGATTTTTTGTGAGGGAGTCCTTGGTACTGTCTGAGGTTAGTTGTTTGCTTGCAGACTTTTATTACCGAAGTATAGCATGAGCAAGTAACATTAGCAAATAACATAGCAAGCAAACAACCAAGGTCAGAGAGCGCCACAGTTCAACCTAGAGCTACATACCGATATATTCCCTTCTGATAGGATCTCTATTTTGTTCCCTCTGGATTAATGCCAATGTAGGAAAAGGAATCAGGCTTTTCTCCTATTGTAGTGTGTAGGCGATGGTATTCAGATTACTTTAACTGCTAAAATTATACAGTAATCTTAACATATACAAAAATTTCTCTAAAGGTTTTGCTGATATGATTGCTGCGGCCAATGGCTTGGCAAGATTGTGTTGATGAGAACCTAATACATAGAAGAGAAACCTAAATTTGCCCAGATATTGAATTGTTGTAATTTGGCAACAACTGAGAATCATATATTTATTGCTGCCCCGTTTCCCTGAAAATAAGACCTCCCCAGATAATAAGCCCAATCGGGCTTTTGAGTGCCTGCTCTAAAATAAGCCCCCCTTGAAAATAAGCCCTCCCCAAAAACAATTAACCGCATGCGCAGTTGGTCCCTGCCATTTCCTATGGTTAGGGTTAGGGAGACAGAGCTGGAAATCAGGTAAGACGGCAAGAGGAGTCCCATCTTGTTCCATGCACCCCAAAATAATAAGACCGCCCTGAAAATAAGGCCAAGTGCTTATTTCGAGATTCAAAAAAATATAAGACAAGGTCTTATTTTCGGGGAAACACGGTAGTGTAAAGTGTGTGCCCAGTACTTACGCTTGTGCTTACTTGTGACATAGCATTGGCTTTACAATTTTTCTCATGTGATTTACAGAATAACTTGAATACATTCATGGGTTTAACATTTGTCATTCTACAGTGCCATTTTCATTTGACTATTAAGAGGTGTGCTAACTGCTTATAGAAGCAGTGTCTGTCATTCAAAGACATCCAAGGCTCAAATTCTTTCTGCAATTTCACATTTGCCAGCTTTACTTCTGAGTAAATATGTATTATGTTAGTTCACTCAAGCTCTATAATTCTTTGTTATCTCCCGTTTTGCTTTAGTTTGCTCTGCTGATTTGAGTTTTATTCTTGCAGGTGACCCAAGTAAATATTTTCTGAGATACTGTACACAGTTGTTTGCCTATGGAGATTCTCAGTCATCCAGGTCATGGTTGTCCCAAAGGTGCTTTTTCAAGAGGCAACTGGGCTTTCTGGTTTTTCTTTGAAGACCTTTCACTTCTCATCCAAGAAGCTTCTTCAGCTCTGACTGGATTGGTGGGGAATGATTCAGTCAGAGCTGAAGAAGCTTGGATGAGAAGCAAAAGGTCTTCAAAGAAAAACCAGAAAGTCCAGTTGCCTCTTATAAAAACACCTTTGGGATGACTGTTTGTATTGACTCTAGAATAAAACAGATTGGATTGGGTTTAGTGGAGCAGATTTCTGTGCATGGAGCCACTGATGATTTCCTATCCTTCCCCCAAAGCCCAAATAATGGACCATTTATTTGGGGGCTTAGTAGGGCATACGGGTAGTCCTCGATTTATAATATTCATTTAGGGACTGTTCAGAGTTAGAGTGAGGCTGGATTGTCAGAGCTGAAGAAGCTTCTTGGATGAGAAGTGATAAGTCTTCAAAGAAAAAGCAGAAAGTCCAGTTGCCTCTTGAAAAAAAAACACCTTTGGTACACAGTGTTTTGGGTTTTTTTAACTGCAGCACCTGCACTGTATTTTTGCTCTTGCATTTCTACACTACATTTTCAAGATCTTCAAGGTCAGTTTCTGTTAACATCAACCGTCCGATATCCCCCTTCCTCCAGCCTCAGGTTTAAAAAAAAAAATACTTTCGTTCCCATTTTTAACCCGAGAACCTGGACCCTGAGCGAGAACTATCCCGTCTATCCAAGATGAAACGCTTCTTCTGCTCCTAGAAATCCGCCACTTTTTTCAATGGTGCAAAGCACGGCCGCCTGTTAAGGTGCCGCGGGGACTCGAAGGCGGCCGATCCACCCGGTGGCGTTGCCGGAGCGAGTCCCCCTCCTGGTCCTCCGGCTGCGCCTTCGTCTCAGGGCGCAGGTCCTTCGCTCCTCTCCTCTCCGCTCCGCTCGCCGTCGGGCAGGGACGGCCGGGTCCGGCAGGGCAGATTTCCCGGTCCTCCTTTCCTGGCGGTGGGAGGGCTTCCCTGGGCGGGCTCCGGGGCGGAGGCGAGCCCGGCGGGAGGAGGCCGGGGTTGTTGCGGAGCTGGGGCTGCGAGGCTGATGACGAAGTGAAAATGGCGGATCTTTCGAAATCCTATCCCGGCCCTTGACATTCCAGAAGCGGCAGCTCAACAGCCCGAAGAGGCTCTGCCCGCTTGCTGCCAGCGGCCCTCCAGCTGGCTCCCCTCCCCGCTCCAGCCGGGCAGACCCTCAAGGCGGAACGCCCCTTCCCCACCCGCTCGCCCGCCCGGGAGCTGGCACCGACCAGCCTGGAAGGACTCGCGGCTGCCTCCCGGAGAGGGTGAGAGAAGGGCGCATCGAGGTCTGGGCAGCCCTGGATGCGCCGGCCACGGAGGCTGGAGCCGATCGAGCGGCTCCTGCTTTGGATGCAGGTGTTCCGTCTCCGGAAGCGCCCTGGTTGTGCCGCTGGGAAAGGGATTGGGAGCTCCCGGGGCCTAATTTTCTTCCCCGGGGGCGGGGGGGGGGGGGGATCGAGAGTTGTCCAGCTGTGCCACGGTTACTTGTCTGGGTCAGCTGGGAGGATAGGAGGACTCGGGGGGCGGGGGAGGTAGTGGCATTTTTCTGGAGGAACCCTGGAAGTATTCTTCATCCTTTGCTGTACAGGGTAATGAAGAATATGAGTACCTTAAAAGTGCTTGTGGGACATACAAGGGTCTTACAAACTAATTTCAGAGCTGCTCTTTCCCACATTAATGGGTGTGTTTCAAAAGCCATATCTTTTAATTAGCACTTGTGAAAGCTTCCACCTGTGTTTGGCTGTTCATGTTTATAATAAGTAAAATAAAATAAAATAAGATTTATTTTTTTTAAAAAAAAATCCTCAACTTTTGAAAAGTGAAGAAAGCGCAGCGTAGCAATCAGTAAATGAACTGGTAAAAGAAAAGTTATTAGGAAAAAATAAGGGTTTCTCCTCTTTTTAATAGGAGACTGTGGATGCCAAGGGTGATTTAGGACAGGTCCTATTCCTGGCAAAAATGTCGTAGACAAATGATAATTATTCCACATAATGCCTCTGGAGGAAAAACATTTTTATTTAACAGCTCAATCCTAAAGTGCCGCAAATTAATCTCACCATTGTTGTTTAGTTTATTTCAGGGTAGCACCATTTTTCTATGAATCTGTAGCT